TGGAAGAACTTGAGTCCAACTCAAGAGGGCCAAATACAGTGACTGCTGAAGATCAAGTTGCAGACATCTTCACCAAAATCCCTGGGAAGAAAGCATTATGAGAAAGATCGCCTAGCACTGGGGGATGATAAAACCCAACTGAGAACCTAGTTCCTCATTATTGGTTATGAAAGTCATAGTTAGGTAAATCCTAGCTAAAGTATTTTTTGGCTAAGTCTAACTCACCTCTGTACCGTTACAGGTAGACACGCATGATGACTACAGAAGTAGATGCTGTAGTGCATGATGAATAAGGGGATAAAACTCACTTGCCAGACCTATCAGGGAACCTAGTTCTCTGATGCAGGTTAGTAGCTTCTTTTTTCTTCCATACACAATTTAAAACGGACAAACAATGCCACATCATATTAGCATGACAATCTCTTTAAAGACGTGTCTCTTCAGCCAATACGTCACAGCCCAAACGTCACTCCTTTTTCTAAATGATACATCTCCCAAGCAAAAGGGTGTCGTCGTTTCAGAACCGGTCCCTCATCATAATTAAATCAATATCACAACCCTTTCTCTTCCAAACTCAAAATTCCTTGTTTGACTTCTCTCTTCTTAAATCCACAATCCCTCGAGAATAATCTCATCATGTCTGAAAATCAAGCAACCTTCAGTGTGCCCGACGACACTATGATTGAGTCCTCACCAGTTAGTATTTCAGCGATGAACTCCTTTCCCAACACAATCACTAGTCCAAACCCTAAAGAAGAGTCTCCTCCACACTCCACTCTCTCTCCTACCCATTCCGAGTCCACTCCTCATTTGAGCAAGTCTGAGAATTTGTGTCCTCCTCCAGTCTCACCAATCAAACAGAGTCAACAGGGTGAGCAGGGTAAACAAGGGAACTGCATTCAGGAACCTTCAACTCTATCCATGGTTGAGCACTTGAGTGAAAATCTGGTGATTAGTCATGAAGAGATTTAGACCACCATGACGAGTTGTGACTCTGTAGGTATCACTCTTTAGTATGTTGAAATTGCCATGGAACCACAAGAAAAGGAAGGAATAGAGAATACGTTTTCCATTGCATCAGAAGGGGTCACTGTAGAGGAATGTGTAGGAGGGTCTGAGCCTCAGAGGGAAGAGACCAATCCATCAGAAGAAAATGGAGAAATCGTGCCATTTGAACAACAGGCACAAGATGATACTATTAGGGTCCCAAATGATGAACCTGATCCCTCCGTGGAGGATCCAGGTCAGGAGTCATCTCCCCAGGTCAGTATTGATCCTGCTCCCTCTCTCCACTTCGATGCTGAGCCTTTGAATTGTGGTGCCTGAGACGAATCTTGACAGTGAAGAAGACGCAGATGATTTGGTTTACGCTATTTTAATCAGGGCTTGGACTAAGCCAGTGGTAACTTCAGAGCCACCTCTTAAGCGACCTACTACACGGTAATAGCAAAAGGAGGCTCTAGAGTTTGCTCTCAAGAAGAGTAAAAGGAGTCGGCGAAGGAGAAGATTGGTCAAAGATGGGTAAGTTGTACAAGGATAGGATGTTCCTGTAGTGGATGTGGATGAGGAAACCAAAGAGGAACCTAGTTCCCTGACCGGCAAGTCTTCAAGGAAGAAGCACTCTCTCTCTCAACCCGAAAAGGCACACCTCTAAGGGTGCTGAGAGTTCTTCTAGAAGGGTTGTTGCTGGTTCCAGTGAAAAGTTGGTAAAATATTCTGGTGACAAGACAGTGAAGGAGCGTGGTGACAAGTCTGATGAGGAAGAAGTGGAAAAATCTGGTGAACATATACAGAACAAGTCAGTAGAGAAGGAAAAGTCTGTTGGCAAGTTAGTAAAAAGAAAGAGGGGTGATGATGATGAGGAACCTGGTTCCGTCAAGAAAGGAAAAGTGAGTCGATCTCTGAGGTCTGAGAAAAAGAAGTTGGGGAATCAGAAAGTGTTGTGGGGCCGCAGGTTTGCCTCTGACATTCTAGAGAGTGCTGGGATGAGATAATTAGTGGATATTTGTGATTCTCAACAGTAGACCAATCTGTTTACAAGTGATGCTCCTATAGTGTATGAGGACGAGGTGCGGAGTTTCTACACCAGCCTCTTCACAGTAGATGGTGATCAAATCTGTGTGTTGGTAAATGGGGTAGGCATAGTGATGGACTTTGCCTTATTAGGGTCGATTCTGGGTATTCCTAACGAAGGAGTGTCATCTGTTCAGGGTGCCTACACATCAAACTTCAGAAATGCCATTGTCAAGGACAAGGCAGTACATCATGGGGAACAAGTGCATAAGAAGGCACTCCTTCCAGTTTATCAGCTGCTCTTTGAGATGGTTAACAAAGTGTTGCTACCTCGCGGTGAAAAAAGATCCGTTGGCATGCAAAACTGACCTATTCCTTATGGAAACCTTGGATAATTTCTCCTCCATCAATTTTTCTGCCATAATGATTGAGCATATGCAAAAGGTAGAACACCTTAAAGATGGGAATCATGGACTGCCTTATGGGTTCCTTCTCACAAAGGTCTTTGAGTATTTCAAAGTACCTCTGGGACAGGCCAAAGTGGGCACCAACCATATTCTTTAAAAAATTGGGTCTACATTACCGACCAAAGTTGATCGGTAATCAAAAAGTTTCTTTGACTAAGCAAGTCTGACTAGCTCGGTTAACTTTTTGACCAATTTACCGGCCAACTTTTGCCGGTATGTAATTTTAAAAAAAATGTAAAATATTTTTTTTGTAGTTTCCGTCCATGTTGGACGGTTTTTTGGTCGCTTTTTTTGACCGGTCAATGTTGGTCGGTACGGCTTGGTCGGTTTTTAGCGAATTTCTAGTAGTGTTAAATATACAAAAATATTCCTCTATGCCATTTAATTTATGTCTCCAGACAAGACATGAAATTGTATTGTTAATGAATGCACCAGTAACACATCTGTTTGAGCAAATAAATGCTAAACCAATTAATGATAAGTTAGAAGGGTGAATCTTAGTTGAACTTAATAAATTCTAGATATAATAAAACGGCGTTTCAGCGTGATGCGTGGGGCTTTAGAGCATTAAGTAGTAGACTTAATTTCCTGTGATTGATGATAGTATAAATGAGCAATAAATGTATGCAATGACAAAGACTGTAATGGGAAAAGAACTTTCACCCAATGATTGTATGATTAGGATATTCCTTTACTCTGATGGTGACGTGGTGATACGAGAGATTCAAAATGTATATGGGATCTTGAGATTTATGGATAAAGATTGAACAACATGTGTTTGAATATATGAATAAGACAACTTTTCGTATATTCCTCTTTCAACTTTTACAATGTGTTCTCTTTTGTCAGTTACTGTGTCGTGGTTGACCCCATCCTATGTCTTGCTTATCCGTTACCGTGGTTACCAAATTTGGACCTACACAACATCAATTTCAAAATATTGGCTCGTTTTTTTCCTCATCAATGATATTCATTTTCTGCTCAGAAAAATGTTAAGCAAAATTTTTATGTTACTTATTATAAGTGGTTTGGTATGTGAGAGAATTATTATTATTTCACGCATCGTATCTCCTGCATCGGGGCTCGGTAGATGGGAGGAGTATGTTGGTAATAAAAACTTACCTGCATCGAAGTTGGGCAGGAGGATCGTCACTATTAGCTAGCCAATATTGGCTACTCGGGAAAAATACACAAATAATTGTTTTAGGGCTGCTATTTAGGAATTAACTCGTATTTATTTTATTCTAAATATTTTAATTTCAGGACAATTGAGGACATTGTGTTCCGAAAATTTGAACTGAAAAATTAAAATTCAGAATACATTAACTAATTCCCAAAAAACAACTATGTAGAGTGGCTACCTAGTGTCATTTCTACTTGCTTACGCAGGCTATCCTATATAGGTTACATTTCTATTGTATGTGGGTCATTTGGTATATATTTTGGAGGCCAACATTAAAAGATTGACAGCGGATTGTTGTGCATTTGTTACTTTCTTTGGCATTCGGTAAGTAATAAAAATGACAGTTGTCATGTGTCTTGCTCCAGCTTATACCAAGAAAAAGATGGTATAGAATAATAATATAATATGGCAGGAGTAGTAATTGTTGCTACACCATTTGAACATTCAATTAACATTGGTCCCCAACTTAAGGTGAGAAGAAAATACAATTATATATCAAATATGGTATTTTTAATAAAACCCAACCAAAACGAGGATTGTAATTCACGTCTTATTTAATAATTCATGTGGTGTATATTGATTTATTCTTATATTGTAATGTAAAAAAGTATTATCTTGTTATCGGCCAAAAAAATCGTAAAAAGTATTAGTTTTCGAGCAGCTTAGGTGTCGATTGACTGGCGCGTTGACAAAATAGTCTTGTTATAAGATATCGCATAAAATATTGCAATGTTCGGTTGATCAGATAACTAACACAATGTTTAGTTGGCAGCATAATAAGAAGCGTTTCGAGACAAATTGCTTATAAAGTGATAATCCCGACATTATATTTTGTATATTATTATTCATCGCATAACAAATTCTTATGTTATTATAATAATAATAATAATAATAATAATAATAATAATAATAATATATTATAAACTAATATATAACAAGACAAACAACTCTTGCTTATAATCCCGCAAAACTAATATATAAACTAATTAAATAAGGTTTACGGTAACCATATAGATTAACTGAAAATATATGGTAAATGAACAAAACTGAATGGACACCAATCATCTGCTATAAACACCATACAACCTGGTATTAAATTAGTCAACAACACAAGAAACACTATCAGGAGACGAGTCACTTACTTTTTCATATCCGAAAGGTAGGCCTAATTGACCAAAGTCATCAATATTTTTTATGCTTAAATTCAATGGGAAGAAAGAAAGTGAATCGCCTTACTTGATCAACAACAATGTCGGCTATTCAAATTTGTGAAATAATAAATTCAAGTGATCAAATACATTAATCACCTAGCTACCACAACTAAAGCCTGACAAACATAATAGAATAATACCATGTGAAGCTTTTGCACTACGGTGCCAATATTAAAATTTGCCAGTCATAAATTTCCTTGCATCAACTACTGTCTATGCCCTAAATGCCATATCACTAATAATGGCATAAACAAGCCCTTTTTCTTTCCTTAAAAAGATTTTTTTTTTAAATATTCTTTGAATGGAAAAATGAAATATTTACATAATGGCAATTTTTTTTTTTTTTCAAAATGAAAACTACACGAAATTAAATTGCCAACAGCTATTCTTTGGGTAACAAATATGGGGCTGAATTCGGGTGACCCGAATTCATAATTTCTGTAATCACAAGGTTTCTAGCCCTATTGATGGTCATGAAGCACAAGTACAAATGTTCTTCTAATTCATCCAATTGCTCCACAAAGCTTGCATAATTCTTCTTTAGCTGGCGCGCCACTTCCCCACTGGCTTGAAGTTGAAGCTGAACAGGATCTCCACCTCGCTCTAGCCAAAATCGAACTATGGCTTGTAAATCTTCTAATTCATCAGTTAGCCGACCCACTAGCCGGCTTATAGTATCCAAGTCTCTAATTAATATATAGGTCCCTTTTGCAGCTATGTCAAGCTGAGCTGACCAGCTTGCCAGCTTCTTAGTCGACGCGAACTGGAATGAAGCTGCCATTACAATAGGAGCCGCTACTAGCAAGGCAAGTGCATGTGTGGCGACAATTATTGTAAGCGAGACTGTTAAAGCTACAAGAAATACGGCTGAGCCGCGTTTGAGTTTGTTCATTAGTCGTAGTTTGGCTCTGGTCTTGTCTCGCCTAAGCTCAAGTCGTTTTAACAATCGAGAACAATCAGTTTGAACGGCTTGAAATTGAATCGATGAAGATGCAGATGAAACAAATGGGTTAAGAGAGTTACAGAATTTAGTTAACCGGGTCAGGAGCTTGGGCATGGGGTCCACATGCGAATATGGTGTTTTCTGGAGAGAGTCTAAGGTGAATTTAAGTGATTTATATTTGGATCGTGTACTTTCTACTTTTTTTAGCAATACACTGCAGAGTAATGAGGCTTCAGCAGTTTGTGAAAAATACTCGGATAGTAGAGAGTAAGTTTGTGGGTGGGTTTGGATCAAAGCCAGGATCCGAGTAACTGTTGGTTGATCCGGATCCAAAAGATGCTCCACGAAAATCCGGTAAGAGGGAAGCCTAGCAGCTGAAGTTGACCCGACAATTTTGGTAGGTGAAGAAATTTTTTCACCTAAAGCAAGAACACGTGTCCAGAAGTCAGCGTAGGATTCGGTTCTAAAGGCATGGGCATACTCCTCTCGGAGGTCCAATTCCACGTGGGCTGGTTTCTCGCTTTGAGCCTCTGCATGCAAACACAAAGATTTGATTACAGCTTGTTGATGTGTTTTCATTTGAAATTGAGAAAAAAGTGACAAAATAGATAATGGAAAAGAACTCGGGCGAAGTGCAACAATAACACTTTTAAGTCTATTATTTAAAATATTTATAATTTATAATATATTTAAAAATTAGTTAATTTACCATAAATTCAAGACTAAGTATCTTAAATTTTTGTATCCTTAATTTTTTAGGTGCAAATTGGATTTTAGGACTTAGTGTCCTAAACTTTTTAGTTGCTAATTTGAAATTCAAGACTAAATATTCTGAATTTTTAAACTGCTAATTTAAAATTTAGGATATAAAATTTGAATTTCTGTAATTTTCGAACTTTAGGACACGATGTACTGAAGTTTGAACTTTGAGGTGTAAACTTCAGAACGTCATATTCTGAAGTTTGAGTAAATTGGATAATCTTTAAACACATTCAAACTATGAAGAAATTTTAAATAGCATACTTAAAAGTGGCTAAATGGTGTTATTTCCACAAAGAATGCACTACTACTCTAACCATATGGGCTATGTCCGTACTTTTAGATTCATCATGCTCAATCTTAGCCCAAAATAAGAGGAAAAGTATGGGCCTTCGGTTCTTTAAGCCCATTAAAATTATTAAGGGTCCATAACAAACCCAAATCGGATTGGATTTCCAATTAAAAATTGACTCTTTTTCTAACAATCAATTTCTATGACAAAGTTAACAGGAGAGCAAGAAGACACTATTATGAGGGTGTTTGGCTAAGCTTATAAGCTGATTAAATTGGCTTATAAGCACTTTTTGGCTTATCTACGCGTTTGGTAAAAGTAAAAGTGTTTATAAGTTAAGTGCTTATAAGCCAAAAATAAGCCAAAAGCCATAAGTTGGTCTCCCCCAACTTATCAAATTTCAGCTTATAAGCACTTTAGGTTTGACCAAAATAGTTACTATTCTATCCCTAAAATACTTCTTTTTAGAACAAAACTCTTCGTATACCCAATTCTTCAGCTGCTTATTATTAATTTCAGCACTTTTATCCAAACACGTAACTGCTTATTTTTTAAATCAATTTCAGCACTTAAAAGTGATTTTCAGCATCTAATGCTTATCAGCAACTCTAAATCAGCTAAGCCAAACGGGCTCTATATACCATTTGTCGGGAAATTCAAACTATCCCACGAAAACTCAATTCCAAACTCGATTAGTTGAAACGTTACTCAAATTTGTGGAATGAAATAGCTAATGAGTTATGAGCAGGAAAAACCTCAACTAGAAACTCAATTCCAGATTAATGATTGTACTGACACAAGACACGTGCTTTTCGACAGATACTCCCAAGAGACCAGAAAGTAAAAATTATCGGATGAGTTGTTGGCTACTATTTTTACTTGTTATTCTTTAAGAAATAATTAATAGAATTATAACTTTAGTATATATCACCCCTAATTATAATATGTTGGAACATAAATTAAAAATAATTGACAGTACTTAATAATAAGATAAAATAGGAGAATCGCAACCCTGCCTCGACCATTGATTTTCTCTTTCTTCAGCAAAATTCATTAGTATAATCGTCGTATTTTTATACTCGATATTTGCAAAGTTGTTAACGAGCTTTGTTTTCACATGTGTTTTTTTTAATGTGTATGTTTTCTCCACTACACGACAAATACATGTGCAACAGATCAAATTTTGGATTTTATGAATATATAACATCAATCGATTTCGTGAGATTAAATTCACAGACAAAACTGGCTGAAAAAATTCAATAAAACGGAATTAACAAAAGAAACTTACCGTTCCATGCAAAGTATTTTCTCAAAGCTGGACGAAATTTTATCTTCATTCTTCTTCTTAATCCCTGCAATAGAAAACCCAAAGGAGGAGTCTTTACAAGTAACTATTCAAAGATGAAATATTTAACTGTTTCAAAGGGAGAAGGAGAGAGGAGAGCATACGTTTGAGGCACTTCTTATAATTGATTAAATGCTAGCTAAGAGATAGTATATATGTTTTGTTTTTGCTTTGAAGACAAGAAAAAATATTTCTGTACGCTTAAGATGTTATTACTAAGGGGGCCTTGCACTGCAAGGGATTAAATTCACTGCCCACAAAATTTCTAACATTTTCATTTCTCTGATATGTCTTAGAAGGCAACTCGCTAAGCTATAGAGCGCCCCTAGAATATCAACCACACAATTATATATGTTGGACACTGTTTTTAATGATATATATTAACTAGGAACTATTTTATTGTATAATTAGGAATAGAAACAAAAGAACTTGAGAGGAGTTTAAGGAAGAGACAATGTTTAATTTTTGAGTGTCTTTACAGAGGAGGAGTGCATAATAGTATCTACTTTAATTGTACTTATGGGCTCAAAATAATTTTTCCAAAAGGTGACTCAATTTAGACAAATTACCACATTTGTCGTTCCGCCCAATTCAGCTATATTTGTTTTGCTGTAGATATGAGCTTGAAAAGAGATCTAAAAATAGTGGTTGCAACTTCAAAGGCAAGCCTAATTAAGGGTATAATCATATATTGGACGCTGATGACACGATGTTCGCATATAACCTGCCCTGCTGCTTTGGGACCAAATGGATTATATTTGTACTAGGAGACATGATGATCATGATCAGATTGATTTTATCTAATTTTTGTGATAGACAATAAGTTTTGACTATGTATATGTTGGGCTGAAGGACTCATCCAATACGAGTCCCAATAGTTAGCTTCTGATTAGCTTCTGATTTTATTATTTTGGGCCTAATTTTGTATAGAACCCGGGCCCAGTTTGTTTTGTAATAAGTCATGTTTGACTATAACATGAGCTGAATTTTCTAGAAAGACACAGAAGAAAGCATAATAAAAATATCTTTCTCTTTTCTATATTTTCTCTCTCCCGTTTAGGGTTTCCTTCTCACTTAAGATTTCTCCGATTGACTCCGATAATGGAGTCTAACATGGTATTAGAGCACTTCAATCGATCCGCATCACTCAGAGCTTTCGTCCGATGGTAACCATCAAGTTTGGTTCGCTAGTTTCATTCAGATCAAAGAGTCTCCTGTCAGAATCTTCTGGAAACGTTTCTAAGCTCTTCGTCTCTTTCCCATTATTAGAAGACCTTAGCTTCTTCAGGTGTGCGAAGAAGGAGGGTAAAAACTCTGTTCTCTTATCTGCATGTGAAAACCTAAGTGAAATTAGGGCATTTTTGTTCTACTTGTGAAATTTGGGATCTGGACTGCTTCTGTGTTTTTCTACATTGTTAGTCTGGAAATTTATTTTGTGTGTGAATATGGAAGTCCTTCGTCTACTACTGAAGGTTTTGTCGAGATCATTGTGGACTCGTCTCACCCGTTCTATGTTCTTCCCTTTGATAGTCCTGGAAGTCAATTAGTTTCCATACCGTTTAATGGAATCGGTTTTGTACATTGGCGCAATAGTATGCTTACTTCCTTATCTCCCAAAAATAAATTAGGAATAGTGACTGGTAAAGTAGCTCAGCCTCTACCTAATTTTCCCTATTATCCCTTCTGGGAACGATGTAATCATATGGTGAAAGCTTGGATCACCAATTCTTAGACTAAGGAGATAGCAATGAGTGTTATGTGTCTCAACATTGTTAGGGAAGTGTGGAGTGACATAAATGAGAGGTTTGGACAGTCCAATGGATCCAAATACATTCAAATCCAAAGGAAAATTAGTTCTACCTCCTAAGGATCTTCTGATATTGCTACTTACTTTACTAGAATGAGGGCTTTATGGGATGAATTGAATTCTTCTTATGTTGGCCCTACATGCTCTTGTGGAGCACTACCCAAATTTATTGAAGACCAACACCTTTTTTAATTTCTGAGTGGTCTAAATGAGTCCTATTCCATAGTCAAGAGTAGCATCATGCTTATGTCCCCACTTCCATCTATTAGCAAAGCATATTCTTTGCTTCAACATGATGAAAGCCAAAAGGAAAACCAGCCTCCAAATTTGGGTTTCTCTGGTGATTCAGCCTCTTTTTCTGCTACTTCTTCCCAACATAATACTTCTGGGAACTATCAACATAATGCAATGCCCTTGAATCAAAGAATCAATTTTGATCAAACTAGGAAGTCTTCTTCTCTGTCTTGCAAATACTGCAAGAAACCTGGGCACACAGTAGACAAATGTTATAAGCTTCATGGTTTTCCAACTGACTTCAAGTTTACTAAGAACAAAAGGTCTGCTTCTGCTTCTTATGCACAAGTGGAAGATAATGCTGTTCAAGTGGTACCTCCAAATGAAACTACAGCTTATGGCTTAGCAAAGAGCAGTATCAGCACCTCATGTCCCTGTTTCAACAGGCTCACATATCAACTGGGAATCAATCTTCCACCTCTGGTGACAATATTGCCTATGCCAACTTTGCAGGTGTGTGTCACATACTTGTAAAACAATTGCCTATAGTTAATTTTGAAGTTCAATGTTTGTCTGCTCAATTAGGAAAGATACCTTGGATATTGCATTCAGGTGCAACTAATCACATGACCTCTAATAAATAATTTCTACACATTCTACAACCTTTACCTAAACCTTACTTAATAACTCTACCAAATGGATATAAAGTTAAAGCAATCTCTACTGGGTCATTACAACTTAGAACAGACATTATCTTACATAATGGACTATTGGTTCCTTCTTTCCACTTCAACCTTATTTCTGTAAATCAACTTCTTTCTCAATTACAATGCTTAGCATTATTTAGTAGTTTCTCTTGTTTTCTACAGGGCCCTTCTCTGAAGAGGCCACTGGAAATTGGTAGAGCTTCTCATGGACTGTATTTTTTGCTTCCTGATATGCATGAATGTTCATCTTCCTTTCCTGTCAATCCATCTGGTAATGCATGTAATGTTTCTAACACGTGTAATGTTTTCAATTCTGTTATCCCTTTCCCCAATCCCTCTTGTAATTCTACTACAAATGTTAATAAAATGGAATTTTTTTGGCATCAAAGATTACGCCATATGCCTCTTCATAAGATGAAATCAATTTCAGTTTTATCTGATATTGTCCCTTCTAGACAATCCTTTTCATGTTCTATTAGTCCTATGGCTAGACAACAGAGACTTCCTTTTCCTGAAAGCCATATAAAGTCTACTTATCCTTTCCAGCTGGTTCACTTAGATCTTTGGAGACCCTATAACACCAAAATATACAATGGTTTTAGATATTTTCTTACCATTGTTGATTATTTTTCCAAAGTAACATGGACTCACTTATTATCCTACAAAAGCAATGCATTCACAATCATTAGAGCCTTCACAGAGATGGTTCAAACCCATTTCCACTCATCTGTTAAAACATTCAGAGCAGATAATGCTTTTGAACTAGGTGGGAGTTCTGAAGCAAAAGCATTCTTCTCTGAAAATGGCATCCTTCACCAAACTACCATTCCTCACACACCACAGCAGAATGGAGTGGTTGAAAGAAAACACAAACATCTTTTGGAAACATCTAGAGAGCTTTACTATTTCAATCCCATCTTCCTGTTAAATACTGGGGTGAATGTGTGTTGACTGCAACTTATCTCATAAATAGGATGCCATTTTCTATCCTAGACAACATCTCTCCCTTCTAAAAACTTCATGGCACTCCTCCATCATATGATCACCTCAGATCATTTGGATGTTTATGTTTTGCCACTACCCCCAAACCTGGGAGGGATAAGTTCCAATCTAGAGCTATCAAATGTGTCTTCTTAGGCTATCCTTGTGGTAAAAAGGGATACAAACTACTTAATCTCACTAATCATTCCATAATCTTTTCTAGAGATGTTGTGTTTCATGAACACACCTTCCCTTACTCTTCTCCCTCTCCTCCTATAAAACCTTTTTCTTCTGTTCCTTTTGAGGATGGTATACCCTCCTCATCCTCTCTTCCCTCTCTTCCTCAAGTCCTTCCTTCCACTCTTACTTCTCCTGTCCCTGATTCTCTTTTCTCTAATTCCTCTACACCACATCCTCCTCCTTCTCCTATCCCTGATTCTCTTGTCTCTAATTCCTCTACACCACATCCTCCTCCTTCTCTTGTCCCTGATGTTGTGGATTCTCCTCCTCTCAGAAAATCCACTAGAACATGTCACCCTCCTACTTACCTCAAGGATTTTGTCTGTTCTTCAGTTATTATCAAATCTGATTCTAAAATTCCTAAGGTTTCCTTCACTGAGTTGCACATGCAAGAACCTCTTTCTTACCAGCAGGCTGCCTCTCATCCTGCTTGGCAAGAGGCTATGCTACAAGAATTTAAGGCTCTAGATGCAAACCATACATGGGATATTGTTCCTCTTCCTCCTAACAAGAAGCCTATCCCTTGTAAGTGGGTTTATAAGATCAAGCAAAATTTGATGGTTCCATTGAAAGATATAAAGCCAGGTTGGTCATTAGGGGTGATACTCAAAAGGAGGGCATTGATTATAATGAGACATTATCTCTTGTTGTCAAGTTCACCACCATCAAGTGCCTACTTTCTCTTGCTGCCAGGAGGAACTGGACTGTCTATCAACTTGATGTGAATAATGCATTCCTTCATAGTGACCTCCATGAAGAGGTTTACATGAAACCTCCACCTGGTCTTCAGATTTCTGCCCCCTTGGCTTCTGGTTCTTCTCCTTTGGTTTGCAAACTTCTCAAGTCTCTCTATGGCCTCAAACAGGCTTCCAGGCAGTGGTTTTCTAAGCTGTCTGAAGCTTTGTCCTCAAGGGGCTACATTTCTAGCAAGAATGACTACTCACTCTTCACCAAGTCATCTTCTTCTTCTCTTACCGTCATTGTTGTTTATGTTGATGATATATTACTTGTTGGGGATGATGTGACTGAGCTTGACAATTTGAAGTCCTTCCTGGACTTCCAGTTCAAGATCAAGGACCTAGGATCTGTCCATTATTTTTTGGGTCTTGAAGTTCTGAAGACTCCTCATGGGTATTTGGTTAGTCAGCACAAGTTTGCATCTGATCTATTGAGTGAATTCAACTTCCATCATTTTAATCCAGTGGTCACACCTCTTGAGTCTTCTGTCAAGCTCACCCCTGATATGGGACAACCCCTTACTGATCCCAGCCTCTACAGACGTTTGGTGGGCAAATTAAATTTTTTGCAGCACACTCGACCTGATATTGCCTTTTCTGTACAACATTTGAGTCAATTCCTTCAGACTCCTCAGGTTCCTCATATGCTAGCTGCCCTCCATGTTCTTAAATGATCCTGGATAGGGTATTCTTCTCTCCAGCATTTCTGATCTTTCTCTTGTGGCCTATGCTGATTCTGATTGGGCTGCTTGTACCCAATCTCGCAAGTCTATAACTGGTTTCTTCATTAAATTTGGTGGCTGCCCAATTTCCTGGAAATGCAAGAAGCAACCCACTATCTCGCTTTCGTCTGCTGAAGCTGAGTATAGATCTTTGAGGAAAGTTGTGGCTGAGTTCTCTTGGTTGGTTCGCCTATTTGGTGACCTGGGTTTGGTCTTCTCTTCCCCTATTCCTGTTTTTTGCGACAGCCATGCTGCTTTGCATATTGCCAATAACCCTGTTTTCCATGAAAGGACCAAGCACATTGACATTGACTGCCATTTTGTTCGTGATTATTTGCAATCTGGTTTGATTTCTCTCCACCATATCTCTACTTCTGATCAACCTGCTGACATTTCACCAAGTCTCTTGCAGGCCCTTTTCATTATCATTTGCTTGGCAAGCTTGGAGTGGCTTCCCCCTCCAGCTTGAGGGGGGGTGTTGGGCTGAAGGACTCATCAAATAAGAGGCCCAATAGTTAGCTTCTGATTTTATCATTTTGGGCCCAATTTTGTATAGAACCCGGGCCCAGTTTGTTTTACAATAAGTCATGTTTGACTATATACATGAGCTGAATTTTCTAGAAAGACACAGAAGAAAACATAATAAAAATATCTTTCTCTTTTCTATCTTTTCTCTCTTCCGTTTAGGGTTTCCTTCTCACTTTAAGATTTCTCCGATAATGGAGTCTAACAGTATACGGTTAAAATCGGACCCATCCGATTTTAGTATTTGCCCGAGACTAGGGAGTTGCATCGAAGGTCGGCCCTGTAGTGGATCATACCAAAGCACGAGGACAAGGTACCGAGTTCGGGAACGAGGTACCTGTCAAAATCGAGGTCAGTGGCGATCGAGATCAAATGAGACAGACATCGAGCGAAATCGGAGATAGCACAATAACACAAAAGCGAGATATCCGTGACTGGTCGAAGATCATGGCGTTAATCTCGGAACGGATCAAATCAGGAACAGTTAATTAGCTAATCATGGGATTTCCTTCTATAATTAGAGTTATACCGTAAGTAGAATTCCTCTACTATATAAAGGGGGGTTCTAATCATTTGTAGGACACATTGTTCACACATATCAAAGCAATATAACATTTTCTCTTTAACTTATATTCTTGTTCATCAGCTTGCTTATTTCTTAACTGTTTTGGTACCGATCAGTTCGTGGGCATTCTAGCTTGAGGGTTGAATTGCGTTTCAACACTGGTTTGCTTTACCTTATTGTTAATTTCTATAGCTAATCTTCATATTCATCAATTGGTATTAGGTGAAACCACGTGTCCTTAAAACCACATTATAAGTTTAATTGTTATTCAATTTTTAGGGTAAACAGACTAAGCTATGTGATAAACAATATGTTTTGAAAAATATTTCCTCCATACCAAACACACTGTGATTCTCTCTACTCTAAGTTCTCCTCTAATTTCTTTGTAGTTGCACATGTTCATCTAGAGAGTTGCCTTTTAATCTCTTAAACAATAAATGCAGATTATCTAAATTGCACTACGTCCAAGTCTTAAGTCTTTGGCGTTACTCATCGGGAAAGCAAAGAAGTATTGACGTTATCTTGTGTTTGAGGAAGAAAATTCCAGGTTGCTGGTTGTGTACACCCTGAATTGTCTAGAGTTTAGAGGAAAGCTTAGAGATTTTGGGTGTGGCTTATAACGATAATCTGAATTTAATTTGCGATGAAATCCAACATTACAATGGTTAGTGCTAAAGAGTGTTCTCTTGGAAGGTATTTTTGGATGAGTGGTACTAACATTATTGAACTTAACTTTTCCATAGTAGTATAGCAACAATAACAACAATATGTGTATTCACACGAGTGAGATCTAGGGAGGATAGTGAATACGCATACCTTGTGAATTCAAATTGTGCACAAAAAAACATAAGATTAAGACGCGAGTGGATGGATCAAACATGCTTTGAATACAAAACCATATTGCTTTTTCCTTCATCTCCAGCAGAATTACTGAATACATGTACAAATAGTTTACATTGAGCAATTGAGTGAGATCGCGCAATCTAGAGCCTTATGGAACCCTACAGGGATGTGGTTGTGGAGGAAGGAGAATTCAAAATGTGCACATAAAAACATGAGATAAAAGCCAGGCGAGTCAATGGATCAAACAAATTGAAATACGCATATGGAATGATTTAGGTTCCTTCATCTTCACCAGAATTACCTAATAAATGTATTAATCGCTTACGTCTAGCAATTAAGATCGCAAATCTGCCTAATGGAAGTTTGGACATAAACATCCAAATTGATAGCAACAACTTTCGTCCATTACATGTTATGTGTTCGACACTTCACATATTACATCGAACAACAATTAAAAGCATAAAGTTTACAAGCTTTAGCTTTCAAGGTTAAAGAACCCAATTTTTATCTTTCAGGATAATTCTACCATAGAAAATGTAAATCAAAGTCAACTAGATCAAGTAATTTTCCTAGAAATCATCACCATCATAATCATCATCGGCGAGATCATCCTCAACCTTCTCGGCAGCCTTATCTGCGATGTTATCCTCTATGTGATCAATTCCCTCTGCAATCGCGAGTCCACCCAACGCCCCTGCAACCGCACCCACAGCCAATCCTGCTCCTAACCCCATTCCTCCAAATTTGCCCTTCTTCTTCTCCTCGTACTTATACCCTGCTTGCTGCCCGTAGCTTCCCTGCCCGTAATTCCCCTGCTGCTGCCCGTAACTACCCTGTGAATAACCCGGCTGCCCGTAACTACCTCCCTGAGAGTACGGCGAAGGAGGAGCACCGTAACTCGGTTGTTGTTGACCATAAGGCGCCGGAGCAGGAGCGGCGCTGTACGGATAACCTGACGGCGGCGCAGCGTAGGGAGCAGGTGCACCGTACGATCCGCCGTAAGGTTGCGGCGGCGCAGCAGAGGGAGCAGGTGAAGGAGCACCGTATGATCCGCCGTAAGGTTGCGGAGGCCCAGCCGGGTAATCCCGTGATCCAGGTGGTGGAACACCGTAAGGAGGCGCATAATAAGGATCCGGCGCACGATAGCGCGGATCACGAACGCTGACCTCAACTTTCACCTTCCCTTGAGGGCGACCAGAAGGACGCTTCAAATCGAGTGAACGCTCACAACAGTTGCCGATGCCGACGGTATCGACGACGTCACGGAGGTGAAGCTTGGCGGAGCCGATGAGAGGCTTGGTATCCTTTTCGGCGTTAGCGTGAACGATGTCGATGTACAAGGTGGATTCCTCGATCGGGGAATACAAAGGAATCACAAGCTTTTCGTCCCAGTAAGGAGACATGTCACCATTTTCGTCGACTTTTGTGGAGCATTTAGCTTTAGGGTCAACCCAAACAACAGCATAGGGCTTGAGACGGCCGTAACGCCAATTCACGTTCTTCAAATCCTTAGCCGATGAGATCTTCACTTCCACCTCAAATCGTGATCCCATTTTTCAAAAGTACAGTGAATTTCGATAAGAAACTGTATAAAAATGCCTAATGGCAATTTTCCTTATAAACGGAAGTACTGGAGTGAGTATTTATAGCATCGTAGCATGAATGGTTCTTCATATCACTAGTAATATTTCATTATTGATTTTGGAGTTCCATTAATGACCTTGGGCTTTTTATGTTGAAATATGTACACATTAGGCAGGCTTGGTTCTGTTAATGTCAGTATCTAAAGAGGGTATATGAGTAAATATATAAACCAAGAAAAAAGAGCATTAAGCGGATTAGGCAAGGGGAGGGATTTTCCTTAGCCCAGAAGATTCGAAAGAATTCGAGGGTTAGGCTACCGAGGAAGGTAGGACACGTGGAGGGATATCAATGGTGGTTAATATGTGTAAAAAACGTGAGGGACCTGGACCAGGTAAAAAAAAATACATAAGTACTACTAGTAGATGTCTTAGGGAATATAAATGGAAGACAGGTGAGAACTGTGAAGTCCAATAAGAAAAACAAGATCATCTAGGGGCAAGCATATATTCCTTCTTTCCTTCGCTATACGCGGTGTCAACACGCCTTTTTTTTTTTCGGAAAGTGGAGAGGTGAGGATGGGTTAAGGGGTTGGGGTGGGGGTGGGGGGGGGGGTGTGGAGGGGGAAGAAGGTAGGTTGGCTTCTCTGTGGCCGTTTTATTTATGACGTGAGTCATGCTTAATAACAATGGTTTTCTAGAGGGAAACAAAAAAAACACGATGCACCTACATCACGGAGAATATGAGTACTTACTTATCATGGTTAAGTAATAAATTATTAATATAATTTATATATATTGTTCATTTATTTGATGACACTTGAATACATGTAAATTTTTACCTTTGATTACTTTTTTCTTGAAATTATTAGTAATTGTTTAGCATTAGTAAAGAGAACCAATTATTGTCGCAGTATATACTTTTGGATAATCCTGAGCTAACTTTTTAGTGTCGGATTTGGTCAAAGATCTATTTCTTCAATTAAATAAATAAAAAGGAGAAATTTTTACTTAGCAATGCTATACTACAAATCAGACATGTTGATTGAGCTATTCTGTCTAATATAAGTGTAGTAATTTCAAGCCAAAGTCGTTATGCAGCGATCATCACACGACTTTAGAGGTGATCAAAAACTAAAATATTTTGACTTCACGGTTAAGATAACTTATTCATTATTTTATGTATAAAAATATCATTTCTCAAATTGCTTTCTCTCCTCTTGCACGTTCACGTGATTATGAAGTTTTGGTCGGTAATTTTCGCTCAAATTTAAAAAGAAAGTGTGGCTTGTATTCAGGGGCGGATTTAGTGGGCGGAAGGGGGTTTACCCGTGTAAAGTAGAGAGACAATAGAGAAATCTCTCTTGTATTGTATTCAAGAAATAACAAGTATATATACAAGTACATAGAGCCTTAACTATGGAAAGAATCAAAAAGGAAATCCTATAAATCTGTTGTGAATCCCTATAATTATGTTAGCTATGTATATTACATAAGATTATGTCTACATTCAGATTATGTCTACATTCATTATCTAACACTCCCCCTCAAGCTGGAGCATAGATATTGATCATGCCCAGCTTGTTACAAAGGTAATCAACTCGAATTCCATTCAACGCCTTTGTGAACAAATCAGCCGGTTGCTCTCCTGTCTTCACGTAGCCAGTGGAGATCAAGTTCTCCTGAATCTTCTCATGAATAAAATGGCAATCAACCTCAATATGCTTAGTTCTTTCATGATACACCGGATTTGACGCAATATGGAGGGCAGCTTGATTGTCACACCAGAGTTTTGCTGGTATTGGATGCTCTAACCCAATTTCAGTCAACAGATGATGTATCCATATAATCTCACATGTAGACTGTGACATAGCTCTATACTCGGATTCTGCACTAGATCAAGATACAACACTTTGCTTCTTACTCCTCCATGATACCAAGTTTCCTCCAACAAAGACACAATAACCTGTAGTAGATCTTCTATCAATTTTCGATCCACCCCAGTCAGCATCTGCAAAACACTCAATATGAGTATGATTGTTATTGCTATATAATATACCAAGTCCAGGAGCTCCTTTCAAGTAACACAAAATCTGTTCCAAAGCTGCCCAATGTTTGATCGTTGGTGCAGACATGAACTGGCTAACAACACTTACCGCAAAAGCAATATCTGGACGAGTCACAGTAAGGTAGTTTAATTTCCCAACTAACCTCCTGTATCTCTCTGGATCGTCAAAAGGATCACCATCATCTTTCATAAGATGCACATTAGGAATCATTGGAGTACTGCTAGGTTTAGCTGCCAACTTTTCAGTTTCTGCAAGCAAGTCAAGAATGTACTTTCTCTGAGACAAAAGAATTCCCTTCTTGCTTCTATTTACTTCTACTCCCAAAAAGTATTTCAACTGGCCCAAGTCCTTTGTATGAAACCTAGTATGCAGAAAAGACTTGAGGAAAGAAATCCCAGCATAGTCATTTCCTGTGATAACAATATCATCAACATATACAACGAGGAGAATAGTGCCAGCTACTGATTTCCAATAGAAGACTGAGTGATCGCACTTACTCATTTTCAACCCAAACTCCTGAACTACCTCACTGAACTTGCCAAACCAAGCTCGTGGACTCTGCTTCAAGCCATACAAGGACTTCTTCAAATGACAGACTTTCCCATACTCCCCCCCTGAGCAACAAAACCGGGTGGTTGCTCCATATACACTTCCTCCTGAAGATCACCATGAAGGAACGCATTCTTGATATCCAACTGATGTAAAGGCCAATTCTCGGACGCAACTAGACAAATAAATAAGCGGACAGAAGTGAGTTTGGCAACCGGGGAGAAGGTGTCAGAGTAATCCACCCCATAAGTCTGAGCATACCCTTTCGCCACAAGTCTGGCCTTAAGTCTTGCCACAGAACCATCTGGATTAACTTTAACGGTAAAGACCCACTTGCATCCCACTGGTTTCTTTCCCTTTGGTAAATCTACCAAATCCCATGTGTGGTTGTCCTCTAAAGCATGTATTTCCTCAAGCATTGCATCAGACCATCCGGGATGATTCAAAGCCTTCTTCACTGTTTTGGTTACGGAGATGGAGTCTAGAGAAGCAATCATAGATCTAGACGTAGAGGATAAGTGGTCATAGGAAACAAAGTTAGCAACAGAATATGTCGATTTGCAAGTACGTGTACCTTTGCGAAGAGCAATAGGAAGATCAAGGTTATCTGGAGGATCAGGCAAAGAAGAATCAGATGATGCAGGAACTGGTGCGGGACATGTAGCATTTGTCTCTCGCCTCCGCGAATAAACTTGAACAATTGGAGGTCTTGCTGGAGCAGGTACTGAAGGCATAATAGTCGATTGGTGCTCAATTGAAGAACTGGGAGATCGAAGAGTATCATCTGAATATGTCGATTTGCAAGTACGTGTACCTTTGCGAAGAGCAATAGGAAGATCAAGGTTATCTGGAGGATTAGGCAAAGAAGAATCAGATGATGCAGGAACTGGTGCGGGAGATGTATCATTTGCCTCTCGCCTCCGCGAATAAACTTGAACAATTGGAGGTCTTGCTGGAGCAGGTACTGAAGGCATAATAGTCGATTGGTGCTCAATAGAAGAACTGGGAGATCGAAGAGTATCATCTGATTGTTCTGTCAAAGTACGGGTAACCTGATATACTAGCCACTCATCTTCCTCCCCCTGGCTTGTAGAAATGGGAGGTGCATAGAAGAATGGTGTAGTCTCTAAAAATACCACATCAGTTGACACTAAATATTTGCCAAGCTCAGTAGAATAACATCGATACCCCTTCTGAAGGCGAGAATAGCCCAGGAAAACACACTTCACGACCTTGGGATCCAACTTGGTAAGAGATGGTCGAACATCTCGAACATAACATGTGCTTCCAAACACCTTAGGTTCCACCGGAAATAATGACTTATTCGGAAAAAGAACACTATAAGTCACATTACCATCGAGTACACTAGATGGCATGCGATTAATCAGAAAACAAGCCGTAGAAACCGCATCAGCCCAGAACTGTTTAGGAACCTTCATTTGGAACAAAAGTGCTCGAGCTGTCTCAAGTAGATGCCGATTCTTCCTCTCAGCAACTCCATTTTGAGAGGGTGTATCAACACATGAAGACTGATGTAATATACCATGTTGTCTCATGTAGGACTGAAATAACTCTGACATGTATTCTTTAGCGTTATCACTCCTTAGAGTACGTACTGAAGCATTGAATTGAGTTTTGACTTCAGCACAAAAGGCAGAAAAATGAGTAAACACTTCAGAGCGGCTCTTCATAAAGTAAATCCAAGTCATTCGAGAAAAATCATCTATAAAAGTGACAAAATACTTATGCCCAGTTTTAGAAACAATCGGACATGGTCCCCAAACATCAGAATGGACCAACTCAAAAGTTGACTCAGCTCGCGTATTAACCCTTGGATTTAACGAGATGCGATGGTGTTTTGCAAATCGACATGACTCACAATCCAATGATGAAATATTCTGAAACTGAGGACAGAGCTTCTTTAACAAAGGCAAAGAGGGATGTCCAAGTCGACAATGTGCTTCAAAAGGAGACACGATACTAGAGCATGCAACAGACCGTGGCTCCCATTCATCAAGAATGTAGAGATCACCAGATATATATCATTTACCAATAACCTTCATCGTCTTAAGATCTAAAAACAAACAATGATCGGGAAAGAATGCAACACAACAATTAAGGTCTTTGGTAATTTTACTAACAGAAATCAAGTTAAAGGCCAAGTTTGGTAGACTTAATACAGATGACAGGGTAATAGAGGAAGTTGGTTTAACAGTCCCAGATCCAACACTGCTACAAGTTGATCCATCAGCTACAGTAACCGGAGAGGGTGCTTTATGTGAGCGAAAGCTAGAAAAAATATTTGGATTACCTGTCATGTGATTTGTAGCACCAGAATCGATCACCCATTTATTGGAAGAGGTGATAAGACATGTTTTATCTGACCCAGCAAAGGCAGTAACTGAAGAAGATTCCTTAACTGATTTATGATATTGAAGGAATTTTAGAAACTCATCCGAAACCAATATTGTTGGACTAGGAGTTGTTGCATTATTATTCTTTACCATCATTTTTTTTTCTTTCAATAACAAACTGATTAAACTAACAGAGGTCCCCGAAGCTAAAAGATATTCAAATAGATACTGGTAGATACGAAATCAACAATCTATTGAACAGGATTCAACTTTAATAATCCACTCAACCAAATCAGAGAACCAAACGAATTTGTCCCCAACTCAAACAAAATTAGAGACCAAAAAAGTTTCTGATAAGGAAAGATCCAACAGACAATATCAAGTCACTAATCGATCACCATAGTGAGTCAAAATTAAAGATGCAAGCTTCTCACACAGGCAGCCTCCAAGAAAAATACCACAGAATTAACGAAATCGAATAACCAATAAACCAAACTCAAA